GCATTTGCAAGCTTAGACACATACATTCTCTAAAGAAACTGGCCCATATAAGATACGCTTCAGGCAAAGAAGCATAGCTGTAAACCTATCAGGGCTGAAAATGGTCAAAAGACCATCAGGGCAGACTATTCGTAATATGTGAAAAGACAGGCAACTGTAAATGTATCCTCATATCCTAAGGGGATAAAGAAAACCTAATGACCCTGACCAATGCCAGTCAATTGAGTTCCCCAGATAAAATTATTACGGCTAATAATATAATATAACCCCAGCAGAATAGTTTATAGTTTGTTAAAACACTGTGGAGGAAAATCAATAGGCTGCTGTGCCTTTTCTGGCTTTACACTCCGGTAACATCAGGTGTGACTTGTCATGCGATTTGCATGCCATGCTACTTGCAAATCGTATGAGAAAACACACCATATTGTCCGCAATTATAGCGTTCAAATCAGTGCGGTTCCAACTTGGTCAGAGCCGTACTGATTTCTAAAGTAGTACATGTACTACTTTTGGTGAGATTTGCATAGACATCTGTGAAAGATGTCTTACAAATCGGACCTGAAATCGACATGTCCCCGACTTTGAAATCATGCGACTTCACTGTAAGTCACACGATTTCAAAGTCGGGCTTGATGTGACCGGGGGGTGAATCCCTCTTGTTCATGCATTGCACCTAATTCAGAAAACATCTGCGACAGTTTTGGTTCTGACAGCAATTCATGTGGCCAGTTCAGGTGCTTCTGACAGCAATTCATGTGGCCAATTCAGGTGCTTCTGACAGCAATTCATGTGGCCAATTTAGGTGGTTTTAATTAGCTTCACTTCTACATTGTGGCCAATTCAAAATAACATACCCACAGCTTGTATCTTGTGAAAGCGGAGCTAATTAAGACCAATTTTCTTTTGGTGTATATTATAAAATAAAATATAAAATTCAAGTTTTAGACAGGCACATGAGTTTGGTGCATGCTACGCCACTTTTAGGATGAATGTGAGACACATTCATAAAAACTGTCAGGGTGTGTATCAAAAATAATTGCCATTTTTCACAAAAAAAAAACTTGTTTTCACCAATTTTGCATTCTTTGTTTTATATCAGTGCTAATGATCATTTGCAGCCTCTTTGGGACTGTTTTCTGTCTACACATGCTTTCTTCAGAGATGGCTGCAGGGTGGATTTCATAAAGGTGACAACATTGCATCATGCCTGCACCATGCCTGCAAAATGTGTGTTGAATAGACTTCTTGTAGTCTCCATCAAAATCCCTAAAAGTGGAGTCATTCAGCTTCTGAAACTCCAAAATATGTTATGCGATACAGGAAAAATCCACCTACTGCTCCTACGCATTTCACTCTATCAGAAGCTTAATCCATCAGAAAGCATTTGCATAGGGTGAAAAAGCAGAACACAACTGAGAGATAGTAGATAGAATTTAAGAAAGCTCTTACAAGTGCTAATAAAGCGCTTAGTTATTACTGCCACTTTATGAACCTATTGCAAAGATTAGGGCAGAGCATTACTGACAGCTCATACATAACAAAACTGGAGGTATTTAGTTCCCTAGACTAGTTCCTATCAGGTCTGCCTGCCTAGTGATTGACAGCAGAAGGCAGAGGACAACTATGATATCTGGACAAAAACTTCATGCCTCTAATGTACTTGTTGGTGAAGCTATGGAATCTACCTATTTCAGTGAGATGTCAATCATAAGACAGGAATACCTGGTGAGGAAATAGCTTCTCAGTTCCCTATCAGGCTTTCCCCCACCCCACTACAAAACTCTACAGCCAGGCACCTGTCTTTGTGATGGGTGCAGAGGCTGTGGAGGAAGTTTACTAACGCTGAGTAGGTAACTTTAGAAATTTTATCAGCATTACCGAGCTTCACTAAGGGCAGATCGTCCATTACGGACACTCTGGTCTCAGTGCTATTTCCTCTTAAGACGAATTACATTAACATTTTACAGCTTGTATGTGATTGTAGTAATTGGGTTTATATATCATTTAATTTTGCTATATTTTACATCAACTTCAGTACAAACAGATTTGAAGACAGTCCCTGCCAACAAAATGAAAGAGTTGGTGGCTTTCTCTCCTGGGAACCACACGGCAGTCCTTGCAGTAAAGAATTACAAGGATTAAACATAGGAGATTTTCAAGCTAATCTGGATTTGTTCACTGTAGTAACAAAACCAAAGTGGTGACTCAATAGATATGTTTAAGCAGTTTGTTTGTGTACAATTAACTGCCTAAGGTTATATTTGCATTGAAGGTACCTTGAAGAATGATATTTTCTGAAACCTCTAGATGAAAATGGTGGTTAACACAGCAGGTTGATGTTTTAAAGTGGTTGCAACCTCAAACATGAAATATGAAGAAAGCATATGCCTCTGTTGTGTGTACTTGTTGCAAATAAAAGCGCTAAGTGTCATTTCTGCCTACTGCTTTGTTCCTCTGCTATCAGCATGAAACACTTCTGACAATTTTTCCTGGCAGCAAGAGAAAAATGGTGACAGGGGAGGGACCTCCAGCAGATTGAAAGCCTTAGTTTTGTTCATGTGTGCTGTGTGAAGGGGTGTGTGTTCCTTTTCTCCAATCAGCTCTCAGATCTCTCCTTACTGAACTTTGCAGATTGTAACTTCAACTCTCTGCCCCCTTTTTTCCCAGTCAGCTGAACGAAAAATGACTTAAACCATTTCCCTATTCACACATTAAGGATGGATGGGAAAATCCTCCCCACTGTGACTTTGCATTCTGACAGTGGGGACTCCCTTGCAATCAGAATACACTGAACAGTGCCCATTGGCTGATCGTTGATCAAATGCTGGTTTCCAGCAGGAGCGTTCGACAGAAACCATCTAACAGCTGACTTCTGTTGAACAGAGAGAGCTACACATGGAATGAAATTTGGCCTGTTCCTGCTGAACTGGCTGAATTTTAATCCTTGTATGGCCAACTTTAAGCCCTTCTAACCCAGCATCCCCTTAAATAATGTCTGTACACCCAGGGGTGTGGAAAGGATTGGCGATCATGTGACCTCTGTGATTGCCTGTCAGAGCAGTCACATGATGAGTTGGTCCTGCCAGCTATCAGTCATTAGTGGTGACTGAAAGTGCCTTTTACAGCTCGAGCTCTGTGCTGGGTGAACCCAGTATGTGCACTCTCAGCCTAAAAAGGTCAAACTGTTTAGAAGATATTAGCCGAGCCGTGATGACTGGCCGCGCACTGGCCTAATATCTCCTAAACGGTTCACATTTAGGAGATATTAATTTTACCTACAGGTAAGCTTTATTATGAGCTTACCTGCAGGTAAAATTAATATCTCCTAAATGTGAACTGTTTAGGAGATAATAGCACTTTCTGATAGCCAGTGCACGGCCGGTCATTGCGATTTGGCCAGTCAGCTGGCCAGAGCTTGCAAACATGGAAGGAAGACCAGGTGAAGATAGAAGCCCCGGGGAGCCATAACAGTGCTCCGCTGGAGGGCTTCATTTCAGGGTAAGTCCTTCATAATGTGTTAGTATGCAAAGCATACTAGCACATTATGCCTTTACCTTGCAGGGGGTGTTTTTTTTCTTTTTTTTTCGGATGCTGTTTACTACTGCTTTAAAGCCATTTTGTTAAGCAACCTACAGAATTGGCTAGAACTAGGTTCTGTGGAAGTTTATTTCTTATGTTTACAGCTCATACTATAAAAAAGCCTTTTTACGGAAGTCACATTTCTTTTCCTTTAAGTGCAAAGACTGACCTCTGGTCATTTGTAATGACCTTAAAATAAATATTTCACCAAGTCAACTATATGGACTATTTTGGTATTTGGTATTAGCAAATATTCTCATTACCCATCCTCCTAAATGCCTTTCCTCAAGGGAGGATATATTCAGTTTACCTATCTATACCCTTAATTCATTTAGTTGCCCTTCTCTGCACTCTCTCCAGTTCAGGGGTGGACTGACAACTCATGGGGCCCCCGGGCAATAGGGGATCATGGGGCCCCTGTGTCCTTGCCCAAACTCAAAAAAGCCTATGAAAAAGGTACCAGGGGCATCTCATGGGGCCCCCTACTGACCCCGGGCCCTCGGGCAGTGCCCGAGTTTCCAAATGCTCAGTCCACCCCTGCTCCAGTTATATCCTTTTTATGAACTGCATATGCAGGTTGAGGTCTTACTAATGGTTTGCACAGTGCAAGGTTAGACAGATTTTTTAAAGGAGTTAAGAATCGTCACACAAAACTGTATGGATATTCACTTTAGTTATCCAATCATGTGCAGATAAAATAAGCAAACAGAAATTCACTTTTCACTTGATTGGATAACTAAACTGAATGTTCACACAGTTTATTTTCTGAAGATTTTCAACTCTATCTAGTAAATCAGCTTCTCTCTCTCTCCAGAATGTATACCTCTATTTATACAAGAAAGTATCTTTCTTGTTCCAGAAGCAGCAGATGAATATTGCACATTGTAATAGTTGCCGTTATAATTATTATAAATCATCAGTAGAGTGACTGGCTTAGTGCATCATTATAGCAGATGAAATAACATTTAGGTACATTAAATTGTAATATAGTCATTTTTTTTTATTTTTGCAGATATCTGTAAAAAGATTGCTTTATCTGTGCTCAGGTTGTTCAATGAATTAAGATAAGCATTCAATACTATCAAATTTTACACAAATGATTAGAAGTGACCTGTGTATTCCTGATAAGCGTTTTCACCTGCTAGTGTGAAAAGCTATCTCTGCATCATTAAAGCCTGGGAGCAATGTCATTCCAGAGATTTTAGCTTAGAAAAAAAGTTGAAAGTAAAAAAGCTCTGTCCTTCCTTCCAGGCATGTCAAGCATATTAATTCTGTAACCTGATATCCTTTACCCATCTCAGGCCAAGAACAGACTATATATAGGAGAGTTTTCAGATGTTTGTACTCAGAGGCGTCCTGTCTCTACCATCCATCTCTTTTTTCTGTTTATTTACATTTTCATCTTTAACTTCTAAGCCACGATGAGTCAATATAAGCAGTTTGGTGGTGGAGCCCAGAAGAAGGGTTTCAGCTCATCCTCTGTGTCCAGAAGTAGTGGAAGCTTTGGAGGTGCTGGAGGTGCTGGAGGTGCTGGAGGTGCTTATGGAGCTGGTGGAGGAGGTTTTGGTAGCAGAAGCCTTTTTAACGTGGGAGGTAGAAAGACCATTTCCATAAGTACCGCAGGTGGTCAAGGTGGATTTGGTGGATCGGGCTTTGGTGTAGGAGTTGGTGGTGGTGGTGGCTTTGGTGGTGGAGCAGGAGGATTCGCGCTTGGTCAAGGGTTTGGTCCTGGGGGAGCTCAAGTTGGTATTCAAGAGGTTACAATTAACCAAACTCTTCTGGCACCACTGAATTTGGAGATTGACCCTGAGATACAAAAAGTCCGACTCCAAGAAAGGGAACAGATTAAAACTTTGAACAATAAATTTGCCTCCTTCATTGATAAGGTAAGGATCTGTTATTCTGCAATACACTATGTTTCTATGGTACGAGGTTAATTTTCATTACTGGAGTTACAGATTTATACTTTAAGTTGAATATGTTTGCAAAAATGCCTAGATTAACTAAATTTATGTATGACTAATGACCAGCAGGTGTAAATGTATTAGGTTGTATTGCCCTTTTTTCCACTATAATAATTACTTCCTGACTTAAACAGAATCAAATAATTTTGCTATTTGGTTTTTAAAATCTATAGACTTTTAGTATCATTATATAAAAATTAAGGTGCAAAACTAGTATAGAGGCACCCACAGGTCTTGCAGAGAAGATAGATCAAAATAGCAGTGTTTTTATTGTCGATGTTTCAATGAAAGTCAGTCCATCTTCATGAGTGCCTCTATACCAGTTTTGAATCTGTATGGATTTCTTTGTGGAAGAGCACCTGGGCACTTACCTCCAACATAGAATGCCATGGCTACCCTTGGGATTGTAAAAATATAAATGCAATAGCTTGGGTATATTTGTATCGAATAGCTAAGAATAGCTAAGAAATGCAATTCCTGAGAAAGGCAATTTTCTTATAATAGTATGTTATACTTGTTTATGTTTGGCAATAGGTTCGGTTCCTTGAGCAACAAAACAAAGTACTTGAAACAAAATGGAACCTCCTGCAAGAACAAGGAGGGCAAATCAAGGGTGGAACCCGCGGAAAAAAGCAATATTGAAGCTATATTTGATGCATACATAAACAGCTTGAAGAGGCAATTGGATGCTCTACAAAATGATAAATTCAGACTGGATGGAGAGCTTAGGAACATGCAAGACTTAGTTGATGACTTTAAGAACAAGTAAGTAATATCCCATTGTACTGTAACATGCTATGAAGTTCATCTCATTTTTTGTAAATTGACAAGTGTTATTCATTTTATTCAATACTGTGAATGAATTACAAAATTCAAGGTTAGGAAAACACAAATGGTTTTCAATAACTGTAGTAGGTTTCTAGACAGTTCTAGTCATATTTCCAAATCAAGGTTTAACTAACAAGCAATCATGGCACAGCTGTGCAGGAACTGTGGAATCAGAGGAGGGAAGCTGAACAAAATGAGAACTGTAAGTCGCAGAGTGGAGTGACAGAGCAAGATCAAAGTCACACAGTACACCCCATGCCCAGTAATTCAAAGGTCCATTTTATGTGTGGAGTGGATCGTAACTGGCTGTACAAGCTGGGTGCAGAAGAAACTGTCAAAAGTGGCTGGAACGGTGCCAGCTGCTCACAGTGTATGCTCTGTATAGGGGGCTTTAGGGTGGAACAAGTGAGCAAAATCACAGTCTTTAATGTTTATTGTATACACACATACCAAATGTATTTAGGTAGGAGAAACTGAATCAGTGGCTGGAGGCACTAAGAGGTGAAAGTGCAAAGCAGCTAACAGTATTGATGTTATGTAGGTGGGCTCATGAATGGAATTAGAAAGCAAAGCCTTGGCCTTTAAAGTGATTGTAAAGATATATTTTTTTAAATAACAAACATGTCATACTTACCTACTCTGTGCAGTGGTATTGCACAAAGCAGCCCTGATCCTCCTCTTCTCCGTGTGCCACCACTCGATCCCAAGTTGGGCTTTGTGTGTCTATAGACACACACAGTATGGCTCAGCCCCACTCCTCACTCTCTCATCACTGGATTTGATTGACAACAGCAGGAGCCAATGACTCCTGCTGCTCTCATGGAGTCCAGTAAGAAGGGAGAGAGAGAGAGAAAGAGAACAGCCCTGCTGCTTTTGAGCACATCATTCCATTGAGATTGGGCTCAAGAAAGTACCTGAAGGTGCTGGGGAGGGGAGCTGATAATAGAAGGTGTTTTATATTAATGCAGAGAATACATTAAAGTAAAAACCTTCAGCCTTTACAACCACTCTAATGTCTGTAATCGTAGAGATCCAAGGTCTGGTCCATGGATGGAATAACAGGGAAGCAGTGGATTATGGCTGGCTGTAGGCTTGAATACCCTTGCTATGGGCCAATTATTTACCCCCTGAAGGGTGACTGAAAAACACAGAGATTGCGTTATCCTATCCTGCCTTGTTGCTAGGACATTGCTAAGAATCTCCTAGCTTTTAGTGTTCATCTGTACCAGTCCGAACTCTTTCTCTGATTCAAACCCGCTCACACATGTTTTCTGTCCCCTGACACCCCGACACAGTAGCTTATAGCTCTTAGATTGTTAGATCGACTGCTGCCGAGAGGAAACTGTCATACATGGATCAAAATTTGTCTAGTTCCTGCTGAACTGAGTGAATTAGAATTACCATTTATGGCCAGTTTTACTGTCTACATTTTAGACAGATGATTACCTCCAAAAAAAAAGAAAGACATTATTTTATTGACTAAAAAGATAGTAATATAGCATACTTAAAATTACAAGTACAATCTTTACAGGTTTTCTAAAAAACATAACTGTACTTCTTTTGATATGCAGATATGAAGATGAAATCAACAAGAGGACATCAGCAGAGAATGACTTTGTTGTACTTAAGAAGGTAAATTGAGATCATTTTGAATAAAATCTAAAACAAAGTTATTGTTTATTTGAGACTAGTGAGTAGCGATAGGTTTTCTAACTTTAAAAGTGAAAATAGACCAGAAACAGTTGGACATATAGGCATTATGCAACCATGAGGAAAGATCTTTTCTGTCATATGTATAACTAAGTATTTAGGTGTTTGTCTGAAGTTCCAGTTTAGTGCACAGATTGGTCACTGAGGGGCTAACGAATGTACTCTGATGACTAAGATTCCAATGCATATGGTAAGGGATATTGCACAATTCTGTAGTTTAGACATTTAAGGTTTACTATAAATTGTCTGATAATTCATATCAAAAGGGTTAATGTACTCTGAAGAATGGTCACTAAGTGTTATGTTAATACTGTGGAGACTGGGCACTGAGGGAGGTAGCACACATACTCTGCAGACTGATCACTAAAAGATTATCACACATATTCTGGTGGTTGGTCACTATTTGTTAACACATATTCTGAAGAGTATTCATTTTTGCACATATACTGGACAGTGATTACTGAGAGGTTAATGTACATACGACTGGTCATCGAGAGATAGCACATATACAACAGAGAAGAAAGAACTCTAATTTTAATGGATATACTCTTCATATGGATCATTGAGGAGTTGAAGATGTTGGACTAGGAACAGTCTCAAGGCAAGACTATGGTGTAGAGATAGTTGAGATCACAGGTTAAATCATGGATCAGGGACTGCAGTAATAGTTGGAGAACAGATAACACAAAGACCACAGATCAGTTCAGGAAATCGGGACTTTTGTGAATGAAAGAGAACCAAAAAGGAGAAAATGATAGTGAGGACTAAGGGCAGAAATGCCATGGTGGATAAGTAGTTGACTGAAGAAGACAAGACTGACTTACTGGACTAGTAATTCATATATATTCATTCATTTAATACAGACAATGTTTTGTAAGGATCATTCTCTTCTTAGCAACTGTATACTAAAGTCAACATACCATTGTTACCATTGTAGGATGTAGATGCTGCCTACATGAACAAGGTGGAGCTTGAAGCTAAGGTTGATGCTTTGACTGATGAGATCAACTTCCTCAGGTCTCTCTATGAACAAGTAAGACATATTTTTTTATCATATAGGCAACATGGAACCTGTATATTAAGAATGCAACAATACTTGATTTCAATTTCACTACACTTTTCTCAGTTTCATTGAAATAATTACTTGTTTTAAATCCAGTTTATAAAGTTTGCAATGGGAAGTTAGTCTTTATCAGTGTAGAACAAAAAGTAATATGTAGGAAGATCATTAAATAAATGACAAAAGACAGGCACCGTGTATTGAGATAAAATCTATCTATCTATCTATCTATCTATCTATCTATCTATCTATCTATCTATCTATCTATCTATTTTAGTTCCTTTCATGCACCCCCAAACCAATTGTGATTATAATTAGTTAATTTAGTGTGGTGTAAGTTATTGAAAAAAAAATATAGAAAATACACAAGAGTAAATTGAAAGATATCTACAAAAAAAGACTGCTGATTATGGCAAATAAGAGGCCTTTTGGCAAAATGCGTTGGAGTCATTGAGGAAAGTAAAATTACAGGGTATTTTATGCGAGCTTCTCTCAACTATTCTGGGTATATTCTTGTGCTCCTCATTAGTGTCATAATTTACAGGATTAAAACAAAAATAAAAAAACCTGAAAGAGTAGATTTTTTTCACTGAAGCAGATCAAATAAGGAAATTGAATATTCAGATTTAGTGAAATTCCACCAATACTGAAATCTATAAAAGTGCGGCTAAATCAGTTTTGCTCTTCTCTACTTATAAGTGATTTTTGCTTTAAAATGGTGACTAGTGCTCAGACACAGATTGCAGTCCACTGGAGAGCTGAAGAAAGGAAGACTGCCATGCAAGAAGACATCAGCTTCATTAGGACATCAATGTACACACCACAAACAGTCAACGCGTTTCTGCCATAAAAGCCTTACTCATGACAGTTCTGAGTAAGGCCGTTATGGTAGAAATGTGTTGACTATTTGTGCTGTGTATACTGATGACCTAATAAAGCTGAAGTCTTGCTTCACTTGACCATGTTACTGGTCACTTTCCTTTACCAGAATAACTTTACACCAGTATTACCACTAAATGTTAAGCAGTTTGTTAATAAATGGATCAAAATACAGGAATGTATTTATTTCTATGTCTGTTTTACTTAGGAAATGGGTCAGCTGCAGGCCCAGATTTCTGACACTTCAGTCATCCTCTCCATGGACAACAACAGAGCTTTGGATCTGGACAGTATCATCGCTGAGGTGAAGGCTCAGTATGAGGACATAGCCAAGAAAAGCAGATCAGAGGCTGAGGCTGTCTACTCAGTCAAGGTGAGTTTATTGTGGGAAATGTTCAAAGAGATATTAAGAAGCTAAAGGACCATAATTACTATTTAATGTGTAAAAAAGGTTATTGATAACTATTATTTTTTTCCCAAAGTGCTAATGAGTTTTTGTTCCATAATAGGTCAAGGAGCTGCAAGCATCTGCTGGCGCACAAGGCGATGTTCTCCGCAATAGCAAGAATGAGATTTCTGAGCTAAACCGCAAACTCCAGAGGCTTCGCGCTGAGATTGAAAATGTGAAAAAACAGGTAGGACATTGTGTTAACACAACAAAAATATTACCAGCAAAAAATGTCAAAGCACACTAGACATAGGAACCCTAAAGAAATAATTCCATCTACTTAATATTTTTATGTTTGAGTTCTATTTTCTTAGTAAAAAGATTTTTGTTATGCCCTGTCCTTATCTAGGAAATAATGTGAGTACAGAGCCATATTATGTAATAGGGGGTGAAGAAGGGGTTGGTAACTGTTGGGATCAGATATTCTCAGTGAGCACTGTTAAGCTCCATGCATGCTAGCTTTTTTTATAAGCTCAAAAAATGCTAAATAAAAAAGCTGGTTGAACAACACTGATAATAGCAGTTTTGTGCCAGATTGTAGTAGCGTTTTAGAAGCATTTAGAAGTGTAAGTGTTTCCGTGTTTTTACTGTACATGTAGAAAAAAAAAGCTAGAAAAAAGCTGTTAGGAGCGTTTTAATGGCACTTAGGAGCATTTTGTGTTTTTTTTTCTGCCAGAAAAATGCTCCCAAAAACTCTACAAAAACATTTTTTTTCTGCTCCAAAGCCCTGAAGATTGAAAAACATTACTAGCATAAAATAGTGTGCATGGACACATAGGATAGCACTATTTAGCTTCTAGGAGAAGATAAAAAAAAATGCTGATACCAGCTTCTAGGAGCTTAAAAAATGCTAGTGCGCATGAAGCCTCAGTGGCTAGCAATGTAAGTTGATATATATCCACTGCAATACTGCAGCCTTGACTGTGTAATAGAGCTGGCAAGAGCCAGGGGTGTGTCCAGGGGCAGACTGACAACTCATGGGGCCCCCAGGCAATAGGGGATCATGGGGACCCTGTGTCCTTGCCCAAACTCAAAAAAGCCTATGAAAAAGGTACCAGGGGCATCTCATGGGGCCCCCTACTGACCCCAGGCCCTCAGGCAGTGCCCGAGTTTCCAAATGGTCAGTCCGCCCCTGGGTGTGTCTATACTCCTAGTAACAATTGCATTGTATACAGCTGTGGGTTCAAGGTTCCCTAAAAACAGGTCTTCAATTTGGTTAATTAAACATGTACAGTACCTGTGCTAGGAATGAATATAGTGCACATAGGGCCTAATAAACATTGTATTACATATGAAAAGGACAAATTAATGTAACACTATGTTTATATAACTGGATAGCTGGTGGGTTGGCATGAACTGGTTTATAGAGGGCAAGTGTTCTTATATGCAGTATGTTTCCACAATAGTTTTGTATTAAAATAGAATTTTTATTATTTTCTATAGAATGCCAAACTTCAGACAGCCATTGCTGAGGCAGAGGACCGTGGAGAGCTTGTCCTGAAAGATGCTCATGCAAAACTTGCTGAGCTAGAAGCAGCTCTTCAGAAGGCAAAACAAGAGATGGCTCGCCAGCTGAGAGAATACCAGGAACTGATGAATGTCAAATTGGCTTTGGATGTGGAAATTGCTACATACAGGAAACTGCTGGAAGGAGAAGAGACCAGGTAAGCAATCCATCTGCAATGTGATTCTTAGCTGCAGGCACAGTGGGAAAATTAATCCTCAAATTAATGTTTTACAACAGAGGCACATCATTTTCTCAGGTGGAAGGGACCTAGAAGCCTTCTAGTCTCCTAATAAATATAAAAAAAACACCAGGTGCTGTGAGCTAAGTCTTTGTTATGACCTTTGAGAATGAACTACCTGCAGCTATAGGGGTCAGTAGGGGCTAGTTTTAAAGCTTTATTTACTCTATGGTAAGAATATATAAATACTTTAATTTCCATAGTATGCCCATGTATTGGAACAGAAGGAAGTGTTTGTTATTGTAGAACTGCATCAGTACATCTGCAAAAAAAAAAAAAACTAGAATGTTTTCAGTACAATGTTTTCACTGAATTTTCACAGTGATATTGCACATGGCATAAACCAAAGGGGTGAACTCTGTACAAGAGGACATCTTCTTTCATGGGTTTTAAAGCAGCATGATAACTAATGCAATTTCAAACATATATTCAGCAAAAACAATCTTACCTTTCTGTCTTTATCATGGTCTAAAGTTAGAGAACTCCTTAAAATGTGCTCTGCCCATGACTCACCTAGTCCATTGCCAGAAAACATTTGACATCTAAACATTTTCCTGTTTTTTTTACTGCTGACATTTTATAGCATTTGAACTTTTTTTTAGCGATTCATAAAGTGATCCTTTGGCAGTCTCACCAGCAGTAACCTAGCTTATAATCTTTTGTAGAGGCATCACATTATCTTCTCTATACCTCAAAAATTCATGATGCTTTATTACAGAAAAAAAATAAATAAATAAATTATATATATATATATATATCAGGATTAGAGTGATTTGACTACCTGCTCTTCTCACTTAGGATCAGTAAGGCTACCCTTTCATGTTCATGACCTGTGGTCAGTGTTTCCCAAATTAAAGCAACACTGATTGCCTGAATTGACAGCAATACTTGGTACTGAAGCACTCTTTGGAAATAAAAATACCCAATAGTGGGATAATACTAATGAGACAGCCTTGGGTTTTACTCTGAATGGTAAAAGCCAGGCACATCAAGCATACTGTGGGCTGTAATTAAGCTGACCTCCTACTGTAATTATATCAGCTCATATGGCCTCCAGCACCAGGTCAGCATTTCAACAGGGCTTTCAAAACTCAAATCACAAGTCCCAAAACACTAGCCCACTAGTAAAATTGACCTGAACTGATATAATTACAGCACCCCAAAGCAGTGGGGGTGGGTAATTTACTACCCCATTTAGTAAATATAAAAGGGTTCCTCTGGAAGGCATCAGCAGAAAGGCCCCTACCATTGGTCCACCATATCCACTGCTCATCTGGACCAGTCCTAGAGGCTGGTCAGCAGCTCCGAGGAAAGGGATTCGTCCCCAAAACACGTCAGCCATTTGACCGCATTTTGAACACCTTGCTTGCCATTGTGGCCACCTTCATAATGCAAATGCTTTTTAGATACATGCTTTGTCTGTGAGTATGTGTTTTATTCTTTATACCTTTGAATAAACCTTGGATAATGCACTAGGTGTGTGCGCCACCTGTGTATTCTTCCTCTGGATATATAATCTAATCTGTTCATCTTGAGCACGTTAATGCTAAAAAAACACAAATTAACTTAATAAAGTGAAAATCTTAGGGCAACATTTATAAAGCAGTGAATATGGCATTCACCAAACTTTCACAGCAGGTAGATCAATCAGTGTGATTTAAACATTTGCACCAGGAAGGTATACTTGCAGTGAATCTCTGGTGAATGTCACATTTACTGCTTTATAAATATACAGCCTTTGTTTGTCTTAATGAATCGCACAGAGATTCATTATAGTAACTAAAATGGCAGATTCTGAACTAATTCTATAATCTAATGTTTCTGCTGTTAATATTAAGGTGTATCTAAACCCCAGAACAAGATTATAATATACCACAGTTTGTGTTAGAACTACAGAACAACTCCCTTATTCCTCATCACCTTAACATAAGGAAGAGGTATAAAGTAGCAGCACTGGATTTCTGGAATAATTGCCTTTCACTGGTATACTTAACAGACAAAAAGAGAATAAATAAGAGAAGTTTATCGTTAGGGTTTACATACACTTCAATTTCTTTCATTCAACAAGTGTTACAAGGTTTGTGTTTGGGGTATTATAAACCAGCATTCAGATATGGCATCATTTATCACAAATATTTTAAACAATTGTGTTTTAATTAAATTAATTTAATCAAATTACTGGATTTTTGTTCACTACATTCTGTATTGCATTTTTTCTTGATAAAATGACATAAAATTAAGTGAATATAATGTATGTAGAATTACTGTACATTTTCATAACATATGTTCATAGAACAATGTTTTACTATAAAGGGCATATTTTTGCAGCCTGTTTATTAAAAACTGTAATTTCTTTCTGAACATTTTCAGGTTGACCACAGACAGCAATGTGAGCATTTGTAAGTATTGTTTAGATACTTTTTTTTGTCTACTTTCTTTTACATACATTGTTACATTTGATATAACAATGCATGTATATTCAATGCCCTATATATCAGTGATATTTATATATGAAATTAAATGTAATATTATGTTCTTTACAGCCGTGGTCAGCGGAAAGACCTCTCTGGCAGCTGGAGGAGGTGGAGCTGGAGGAAGCTTTGGTGGTGGCTTTGGTGGTGGCTTTGGTGCTGGTGGCGGTGGAGGTTCTGCAGGCTATGGATACAGCTCTGCCAGCTCTTCAGGATTTGGAATGTCAGCCGGCGGCGGAGGTGGTGGCAGCAGTATGAGATTTGTGTCCAGCCAGTCAAACTACAGAAATTAAATCTCTCATGCTCCACTTTGGCACGGTGCAAATTCATTCTTTTGCTTGCCACTATATTGAGTTACTGCGTTACCACCAGATTATTTTCTCTCGCTATTCCTAGGTTTGTGCTACATTTGGAAACTAAGTAGAAAACACATTTTTCTTATAAGAGGAAATTAGGGAGGTTCAGCACTCACCTTTTTCAGCTGTGAAAGCTTTATAATCTTTCCATTAACCACAACTCTAAGTGCCTTTATCACCAGAAAGGACAAGGAATGGTGTCTACTTCCCTTGTTGTCCTTCTTAACCCTCTCTGTTATTTAAATGCTGGGCTTTTGCCCTGCTGGCAAAAACCTTCTGCTTATTAGATAAAGTCAATTATCTTGAAACGTCATGAAGAAACCCAAGCTGTCTTATCAGCTACAGCAATGTCAGGCACAGAAGTTTGATACATGGGCTTATGTATTACAATAGCAAAGGGTATTGTTTTGTTTTGTGTAATCAGACTTATGTAAGGTGATGAGTAGTTTGTATAAAGGCTACGTCATACCATTGCACTTATCATTATGTAATTAACTAAGCCAACACAATAATTTGCTTATGAGGAAGGGTAAAAATTATTGACAATTCTGGAATTATAATTATTGTAAGTCCATGTCTAAGAATGCCAATGTGCAAAAGGTGCCCTCTCCTTGGAATTTTTCCTCAGTCCATATCATAATAGGAAAAATGCAGAGACAGAATACTGTACGCTGCTGTGGAGAATAAGAGGTGCAAACATTCCCCAACCTACTAAATGTGATGGGGTTTTTGCTGTGGTCATTCATATGCTGTTTAATCATTAAAAAGGAAAGATGAGGAAAGAGGAAGATTAGTATGGCCCATGGTAACATGACTCCTCCTGGCTTACATAGCACCTATGTTATAATAGTTTATAATATGTAAAATAATACACAGCAGTATATCTGTGTAATGTGGTTCATCTATACCACTAAACAAGACAACATAATGAGTATAGCATGGTATATGGCGACATAGCACCTCATTAAATGAACAAGCTAACAAAGCACCCATGTACAGTGACACTTCTATGATATGGTATATGACAGCAAAGCACTGTATAACATAGCACCTGTGTAAAATGGGACTTCAGTAACAAAATATAGGCAACAAGAGACTTCTGTAATACACCACCTATAATTATGATGCCAGCTTTCGGTTAGTGCATCAGGCTCCAAAAGTTCTACACCCACAGGATCCTAAGCTTAGCAACTTGTCCTTATAATTGGTCTTAAATGAAGCCGTGCAAAGTGTAATGTTGGTGTGTGATATGTAGTAATTTACTTCAACCAATCACAAATCATCTCTCAGCTAATTTGCCTGCAGTAACCTGAACAATGATAGGTTTCTATTGTTTACTGTAATTTGCAGATCATCTATGCATTGGCACTGTCTTACTAAATACTCCACATATGAAAAAATGCTTTGATCTGTATAACCAATAAAATCTCAATTAACTGTAGTAAGACCAAAATAAGACGACTTGTGATTGGTTTACTATAAGTTACTACAATCTGATTTTTCCACTCCCTTATTAAGCAAGCCCACGAGTGGCAACAAACATTTAGCTGTACACAGGTTCTGCTGTATGAGTTTACATCTACTTTGTATTATGTAGCGCAAATAAAGGAAGATCATTCATATACAAACCTTATTCATGCCTTCATTCTCCTATTGAATTACATTAATTAATGTGAAGCCAAAATCTTTTATATTTAATTTTTGATAGAGTGGAGAAGGTAAGGATAAATATGTCTAAGGGTCCTTTCACATGGGCTTTCTGATCAAGTCCACCTGTCAGTTTCTGAGTTTTGGATCCTTTTGAATGAACTGACTAGCAGACAAATACATGTCACTATTGCTTCCAAACATTCCCAGTCTCTCCTTTCTGTAAGTCTCTGACCAATTTGGATAAATAATTGGATGAAAGCCTTGATATCATTAAGAGTCTCTACTCTAGCAAGCTCATCTTTTACCTGTTCAGAGAGCCCTTGGTGGAACTTACTTTTTTGTGCTGCTGGATTCCAAGTGATATCTGCGACCCAGCTTTGGAATTCAGCTTTGTACTCAGCAACAGAACATCTACCCTACCACAGACTATGCAACTTTGCTTCAGCAGTAGCACAGTGGTTGGGATCATCAAAAATCTGATTAATCAGGATCATAAAAGTCTCAAAATTATTTAGAGTTGTGCTGTCTTGTTGCTACATTTTGGAAATAAATGTGACATTGGTTAAGGAAACCTCTGTAATGGCAAGTGGTAGATGCATACCTGCATTTGTTTCCTCTTGGGAATGTAAGTTCAGCAATTGTCCCTGCAGAGCATGGATTTCCTCCTGTTTCCCTTTCACCACACTTTCCTGTTCTGAAATTTTTTCTTGGGAGGTAACACCAAACTCTTGGAGTTCTGCAACTTGCTGCCTGAAAGAAGCCACAGCAGTTGCTAAAGCACCCTCCATGTTTGTGTCGGATTATTTTGTCATGGTTAGGGATCAGAATCAGAGACCAGTAGCTATTACAGTAGGGAGGCTCTCGCTGACCAGCAGGATAAGTACACAAGTAGGTCACCCTGGTGGATGACGTGGGCTCATCCGATAGATAGATATTGGCTGGAGAAGAGCACAATAATCTGGCAAACAGGAAGTTCAGAGACATGGCTTAAATCAGGAAGTTCATGGAGGAGCAAAGAGCTCAATTTTCAGCAGAAACAAAGTACAAGGCAATACTGTCCAAGGAATCAGACAGGGAGCTGACCAGCATCTCAGGTGGCACAGCATGAAGAGCCACAGCCAGCCACCACAGAGATTGCAAGTAAGTAAAAAGGTACTAGTAGTGACTAAATGTATTTATTCATTATTTTTAATGAGATAGATTTTAAACAGGGAATAGCAGGGTTTTGGTATCAAACTGGTAGATAAATAAGCCAACCAATGACATTGGCTTGGTCAGGATAAATTTGCCTGCTGCCACTTTTTATATCAAGTCCACAAACTGTACATTTTAGCTGTTGCTACTGGCATGAACTTTCCTACCACCCACAATATTTTCATTGTGGATGAGGTAGCACTGGAATGTTGTTTCTTAGTGTCACACCCACTGCCACTCTTCTGTATTATTTTTTTTCATTATATTGACACCCTGCATGGTAAATTGAGTGTCTGACTGACATCCAAAGAATATATTTTGATAGGAACATATTTACTATGTGCTTGAATAATTTTAAGAAGCAGAAAAAAAAAATACAAGGACAGTACTTACTACACAGAGATAGCAGTACTTATAGGTTCAATAAAAAAACAAAACATTAGCCTCAATAATCTACGGTCTTCCTATAGGAATGAATAGGAAATCTACTGAACATGCTCAGGCCCAACCTTGAAAGATCCCATGATGGGATTGTGAACCACCTAACAACCCACAGTAAAACGTTTTTTTGAATCATGAACAAGTAAGTGGCAGATTTTGGGATGGAGGAACAAGATTTTAAAGGTTAGTGTAATTAGCTATAACTAAGTAGAACTGTGGAAAGCTTTGCACCAATAAAAAAAAGCAAATTGTTATGGACAAGACAGCAGCAACCAATGCTCTCAAACAACAAACTGAAAATAATAACAAGAAAAACCTTGATAATACATTTAAATGGTTACATAGTTTATAAGGTTGAAAAAAAGACGCAGGTCTATCCAGCTTAACCAATGTGTGGGTATGTGTGCGTGATTTTTATTCTCTAACAGTTTCCATAGCCCTGTATAGTCTGCTTCCTGAGGAAGACATCAAAATTTTTTTTTGAAGATGTCGACACTCTCAGCTAGTAGTACTTCCTTGGGGAGCGGAGTAAAGAACCCTTTCTGCAATCTAAGGTTATTAAAGAACAACAACAAAAAAAGAAGAAAAGAAGGTGACTGCCCAAATATTTAGCATTTGGAAACAAAGTTGCCTAACTGAGCCTAATATTTCCCTATGCTTTTTCTAAACCAGCCTTATAAAACACTCACACATGGCTATCCTTGTATAGGAAGTGGCCTGTTTTATCCATAGGATATCTTATTAAACATTGTAAGTCTAATAGCCATGGGTCAAAGTCCATGTAGTATATTATGGCTGAAAAAAAAAACATTTTGTGCGGTGAATTTGCTCATAAACGCGCCAGGACTGTGAACTTCAAACCTATAGGATTGGTTGTTGTGTCACCAAACCTCATCCCTGATCAGCATTAGGTTTCTTTCTCATGGCTGGTCTGATTAGTCCATTCAGATGAGTCTAGATAAAAAAAAAAGCTTGTGTCCATTTTCATTTATTTGGACCTAATTGCAACATATTGGAGATAAAGGATGTAAGTGGATACATGGGTCTGGTATGGATTTTAAGGGAAAACCCCATACAAAAAAACAAAAAAAAACAAGCTTGGGATTCACCTCAAAATCCAAACTACACCCTTATTTAAGCATGGCACCTGGCAGACCAAGAAATGGGGCTGGCAAGTGTAAGGACCCCCTGTCCTGGACCATACTAGGCCACATGCCTTTGGAACCCTCTGGCAAAGCACCTTGACCCAGCGTTGAGAGGACAAGGGCATCCTCCACACAAACCTGGCCCGGTGGTTGTGGGGACTGCAGGTGATGGGCTTATTAGAATCTGGAAGCCTACTTAAATAAGACGGAAGCCCCCAGATACCACCTGCATTCCGATATATGAATAAGTAAGGGGTATATAGTAAATGTAAATAGTACATAAAGACACTGATACACTTTTTGAAAACCACCCAAAATGTCTCTTGATGTAAAACCCACCATCAATCCAGGGATGCAGATTCATCAAGATGAATGAAGCCCATGAACCTGCCA